TTTGTCCTTTTTGTTGTTTTTCACTTTACACTCACTTGTTACACTTTTCTTTCTTTTTCCTCTTTTCTTTCAATTGTTACCATTTTGACTTCCAGTTTTCTAGACATATCAGTCAGTTATGTGCCATGTATGATACACACGTAGCAATTATGCATCTTTCGATATATGAGTGACGAGGCAGATTTTTTTCCCACAGTAGGTTGCCATTTCTTTCTGTAGTAGACCAGTTGCCATCCAAGGCTATAGAACCTGGTCTGTCCTGCTATTTACCCATATCTGGGGGGAGAAGAAGAGGATTCATACTTTTCCCAAGAGTATTAGCATGTAAGTGAATGTAATGGATTCAAATGGAATTCGAACTTGGCTAGAACACATATGCTGTTGTTAATTCTTGAGTGTTCTAGTAGTGTTATAATAAAGATTTAGTTAAGCTAATTATTCTGATGTTTTTTCTGTTCAAAAAAGAAATTTAATTTATTTTCTTTTGTTCTTTGTTCAAGATTTTTGAGAAAATGAAAGTTTTAAAGTAGACATTGGTACAGTTAGACTAAAATGAGGGTTCTGTTTACAAAATTTGTACAATAGACGCTGATGTTGTAGCTGACTTTATGATACTAAATGTTCTCTTTACAATGTAAATATACTGCTTTTTTTTAAAAATATTTTTTTTATTTAATCTCTGACTTATGATGCCTTTATTGCACAGATGTGAGTCTGGAGTCGAAAATTGTAACTACTTGGATTTATGATAATGATATATGATTCCATTTTGGTCTACCATTTCTATACTTTGTTTTATTCATTCCACTCCAAGCAAGGTGATAAAATCACTAAGATGCAAGGGATTGCTGAGAGTGAAAGAAGCTAATAAAATATTATTTATGAGGAAGAGAACAATGAAAAGAATAGAGTTCAAAAGGATAGAAGATGACAGATGACTGCATTTAAATTTTTGAAGATTTTACTTGACTGTACAAATCACTGGCATGGGAAACATGGACACTGTTGGCCGAAACAGAGAGAAGGATCTAAGTGTTTGAGAACAAATACATGAGAAAACTCCTTGGCATCTTCTATTGAGAACATAAAACCAATGAGTTTGTGCAGAAAAGGGTTGAAATTTTTGTGGGCCACCAGGAACCTCTTCTTGCTACTGTCAATTGGAGAAAAATGGTGTGGTTTGGACAAGTTACAAGGAACGACAACCATTGGAAAACCATCATGCAAGGCACCGTTGAAGGTGGATATAGGAGAGGATGCCAATGCAAAAACTGGTCGGACAATGTCAAACAACAGACAAGTATGAAGATTCCAGAATTGCTGATGGCTGCCGTTGATAGACCGTTGTGGAGGAGATTTAGTGTGGCTTCTCCATTCAGACCCCCCCCTTTACGATTACAAAAGTCAAGGGAATAATGATGATGACAAGAAAGAAGTTAGAAAATAGTTACATAGGGGCGAGGAACACAAGAGAAGAAACTATTAAAATAGGATACTTGAAAGTATGAAGCTTTGAGGCAATGTCAATTTTAGTGATAAATTTGGAAAAAAACATAATGGTTCCTTCCTTGTATGTAGAAAAAGAATTAATTCTAGTGAATTAAATTGAAATACTGAAAGAACTTGAATAAAAAGACATCTCAACTATAATTTGAAATAAAAGAATAAAAAAAAACAATTTTTGTTTGTATAGAAGATATGATGTCTTCAAACTAATTTAGATTTTCAGAATGTAATTTTTTATTACTTTTACATTATTTTATACACATAGTTTAAAATATATACACCCATTTATTTGATATATTTACCGTCACTTTATTAATCAAAATCGGTAGTCCCACAACTCATTAAATGTTAAAAGTAGTATGTCTTGGGCAAGAATCCTCTTCAGGTTGAATTACCTTCTCCTAAACTGGCTGCCAGTCAAACTATAGGACACAATCCATCCTGCTATTTTACCCATAGTTGGGGAGAATAAATGGATACATACCTTTACCAAGAGAATTAGCATGTCATTGAATATGAGCTTGAGTGGAATTTGAACTCTGCACTCTGATTCCTTAATCCAAGCTACTAACCATTACTCTAAAGTGCCTCCATCCACTTATTAATATGGTGTGTAATTCTGAAATAATGAATTTATTGACTAATAACAAAAGAAAATCAATCCTCCCTTATATGTCCAGTAGTGACTTCTATTAATATTCAAAAATGCTGTCAAAAATGATGGAATATTTTGTTAAATTCTTACTATTGTTAGAAGGTTTTTCATGAAAGATTTAAATATATTTTTCCAATGATTGTTGATTTTACTGTTTCATAGAATGGGTCTTTCTTTTTTCATGTCCTTTCTTTGATATATTGAAACAGTCATCCATTCTCATGAGGACACTGTCACATAGTCCAGAAGAGAGACTGGAAGCAGAAAAGAGACTAGCTAGGAAAAGAGACTCAAAGGGGGAAAAAAAACCTGAAAGAGGAGAAAAAGGAAGCAGGAATGTTAAAAAGAGACCATAAGGGAAAAACGGATTGGAAGTAGAAAGAGGCCAGAGAGGGAAAAAGTCCAGAAGAGAAAAATAAATGGAAAGGAGGAAAAAAAATTGGAATCCTGGAAGAGGAAAGAGGCCAGAAATGGAAAGAGACTGATAGAGAAAAGAGGCTGGAAATAGAATGAGCCTGAAAGAGGAAAAAGGTCAGAAGGGGAAGAGATTGGAAATGGAAATAGACTGGTAGAGAAAAAAGGCCAGAAATGGAAAGAGACTGGTAGAGGACAGAAGCCAGAAACTGAAAGAGACTGGTAGAGGACAGAAGCCAGAAACTGAAAGAGACTGGTAGAGGACAGAAGCCAGAAACTGAAAGAGACTGGTAGAGGACAGAAGCCAGAAACGGAAAGAGGCTGGTAGAGGAAAGAAGCCAGAAACGGAAAGAGGCTGGTAGAGGAAAGAAGCCAGAAACGGAAAGAGGCTGGTAGAGGAAAGAAGCCAGAAACGGAAAGAGGCTGGTAGAGGAAAGAAGCCAGAAACGGAAAGAGGCTGGTAGAAGAAAGTGGCAGGAAACTGAAAAAGACTGGTAGAGGAAAGAGGCTAAAAAGAGAAATAGATTGAAAAGAGAAAAGAAACCAGTTGAGGAAAGACACCAGAAGGGAACTCACCAACATTGCCTCATTGTCTTGAGTGAAAAACTCACAACAAATTATGCAGGCAGAGAAATCTTATATTAGCCAAAATTCAAAACCAGTAACTAATAATGGAAAGGGAAACAATTCCAAAGAGGATTCATAATGCTAGCGATGACACTGCAGATCAAATAATAAAGAATTGCAAAAAGAAATTCCTGATAGTAGTTGTTCAAAACAGAATGTTATAGAATGAATTCTATCAAAACGAAATTAGGAAAACATGAATTCGTCAATTGAAAGCAAATGTTGATGGTTATTTCAAAATAAATATGCCTGAGTAAGAATGATAATCAATTGGGAATAGTGCAAATGACTGGGATTTGCAGATCAATTGTATAAGCACAGAACAGAAAAAAACTGTTTTAGAAAAAAGCAAAATTAAAATCCTATGGTGTTTTAAAATTGAAATAATCATTTAATTCAGGCCAAGATAGCAGATGTTGTGATTGTAAATAAAGAAAATATGATGTGTGAAAAAGTGAATTTCACAATTAGATTAGATATCAGAGTGAAAATGTAGTGAAGCGCTGCAAAAAGATATTTTTATTTTACTGGCATACTAAACTAATTGAAGAATTGCAATCAGTTGGAATTGTCTTGCAAAAAAGTTCTGAAGGACTGAAAATTTAAGAAAAAATTAAAACCATTGAGAATAGCAGCATTTCTAAAATCAGAAAGAATAGTGAGTAGACTTGCTTTCACTTGATCTCCAACAAGAGACACCAGATAATGGCAGCAAAATTCATATGATAATATATTTTTTTAATCATTTCACCCAAGCAAGGCAATAAAGCCACTAAGACAAAATTGGTTACTGAATGTGAAAGAATGTTAGAAAAAGAAAAACATTATTAAGGAGAGAGAACAATAAAAGAACAGGAATTAAGAAGACAGAAGATAATGTTGATAAAGAGGATATTGGGGAAAAGGAGAGAGAGAGTAAGAGAAAATTAAGAAAAAAATGAGTCCTTAATCTTTATATATTAAGTGCCTTATCAAGTCCTTGTTCAATTTTGAATTTTCTTCAACTTTTACATTAGATGTAAATATGAGCCAAAAGGCCAATTTATTCAAGTTCATTGAATTATAGGAATATTAACGTTTTATATATTAATTAGCTTATTGAATGAAAAAGTTTTGACATTCACAATTGCACTTTGCAGTGGTTCATGAGTTGAAAGACTTATTCAGCCTGTATTCATCCTCATTGAAAAATCTTTTATTGTATGATTTTGTTTTTATGCTGACTAAGCCACTTATTCAAATGTGTTCCCAAAGGTAAAAATCTAACAAATTTTTGTAGCCTGTACAAAAGAGAAGATATTAAATCTTGAAAGTGTACAAGAACTCGATAAATGCAGTTGTTGCCTGTAAGTAGAATCTCATTAATTATCTAAGTCACACGTCTGTCAAATACTATGCACTAGAAAAAGGTAATTTGAATTATTATTTGGAGATGAGTCGATGATAGATCCGCAATATTCCACATTAATAGGGATAAGTATGTAGACATGGATTTCATCTCAGCCTATTGATCATCAAAGAACCACTGTCTAAAATTTTCTCTCTCACTCTTGCTATATATATATATATATATATATATATATATATAATAAGAATAAAGACAAAAGGGAAACTTATCTTAGCTGATGCATTTTGCCCTCTGAGGGACTTTATCAAGACATATGTAAGGATTTTATTTTGCAACAAGTATTTATATACAAGAGCAAAATGTTATTGGTTTTTTGAAAATTTTGGGTATAGTAGTGCTCATGAATATTCATCAGGTCAGCAAAAATGTCAGGCAAGTCATACAATTCAATGCCTAATAAATGAAAGTAGGTGATATTTTTACACACACACACACACACATATATATATATATATACACACCTTAAGAAAGAGAAAGAACAGATGGAATTTTTAGAAATAAGAAAGACAAACTCATAGGCAAGTAATGAAATAAATGGTTTTTTACTACAATGAAAATACAATTAGCAATTGACCTGATGCTAACTCTGCTCAACTCCACTTAACTCCATAAATGGACGATTCCAGTCATTTATGTCCTCTATGACAAAACCCCTCTTGTCTACCAATGGAGCCAATATAGCCATAATTTTTTTCAAAACTAATTTTTTCATCATTATAGTTATTCTTTTTTGTGACTTTTATTTTTTCTTCATTTTCTAAAAATAAATGGAACAGATTCAGAACAAAAATAAAATTTTGGTGGGTGACTTCTCCTCAATACCAAGTAGGTCCATTGGACTGATGGTTGACATTTTTAATTAAATAAATGGAAAAAGAAGAGAAATAAATAGCACTTTATTTGGATTTCAAAAGAATTGTATGATTCTTTCTTATTGCCCAAAGAAAAACTACTGTGCAACACTTTCAAGCACAATATATTCTTCTACAATCAAGTCATCAGATTCTTCAACAAAATCTGAAGTAATTTTATATTACAATAAGACAAAAGGAGTCATAAGTACACTAGATAGGATGATAAGGACATATTCTTGCAAGAGAATGACTCAGAAATGGCCTTTGTCTCTTTTCTACAACATGATAGATATCAGTGCCATTGATGTTTTCATCATAGCCAAAGATCTTGGGTTAGAATGTATGAGAAGAAAAAAGGAATTTCCTCATGTCTTGGAAAAGAACTCACAGGTATTGATACAACTACAAACTATAGTGAGCAATACACTGGCTAGGAACCATCCAGTGACCATAGTGTGGTCCTAAAATGGATAGAAAAGGTGTACTTTCATTATATTTGCCAAAAACATATCTGTCAAAGCTATTTGAAAGTATTCTGTGCAAAATGCAGCAATGAATTGTAATTTTAAAAAAAAATGTGATTTAAATTAAGTTTATAATTTCAAACTAAATGCAAAGACGTATTGTAATTTTTCTGTTTCAGTGAATAAATTTTGATAAAATTGTTCATCTATAATTATATATATCTAATATCATCAAAAATATAAAACCTCTGAATAATTAAAAAAAATAAAAATGGGTCGATTGGTAGTATTTGATGGAAATCATTTTTCTTGGTAGATGGAGGGTTAAGTTGTTAGACTTTGCAATGTCCAAGAGGATTCTACATGATATTAGGCACTTGTAACATGACTTTTTGGTATGACTGTTTATCTTATTAGAATCGGACCATTTTTTTTTCCCCATTTTCTTAACAAAATAATTTTCCTTTGAAAGCAGATTATGTTTCATTTACTTTAGTTTTAGCACTTACTGACCATGTATATAAATGTAGATAAAAATGATGGGAAGATTACATTTACCCCCTTGCATATTTAGACACAGTTAACCTTCATTAAGCAGATTGCTAACAAGGAAAAGCTGACCCAATTCTCTAAAGGTCCACAACAAGCATATATATATATATAAAAGCCTATTCTTATCTATTGTAACTTGTTTTTGTCTATAATTGATTGTTAATATTGAAAAGTTTTCAGCCTAACCAAGGAACTCTTACAAAAAAATTCTGTTTTTTAGACATTTGGTCAGATTTTGGAAAGTTGGTCAGGCTGAGAACTTATTTGGGAGCTAGTTGTGCTAGCATGAAGTCACAAGTCATTGTGAGCGAGGGTTTGACTGTACGGGCCTTTATTCAAACTATAACTAAGGTCAATTCAGCATAGTTGCAGTATAAACCGCAGATGGGCTCTGTGGGTGTTGAACAAACACAAATGTACCTGAGCAGGCATCTACAACAGGGATTGGCTAGCCACTCAAGTAGACAGGTATACTTGGATACGAGCGACCAGCCACCACTAACTTTGATTTGACAGATGATAGCATAAAGGACAGTTTCTGAGTTGGTTTGTTGGCCAGGCAGTGGAAAACTTGTACACAATATGTTTTAAGTTTGTTAGAGGATTATGTTTGGCAGCCGTTGGTGAGTTGGTGACTGTCAGTGTGTTAAGGAGCCTGCTGTAATTACTCATTTTTGACAAACTTAAAGAAAACGTGCTCTCCAGAAAAGTTACTGACCTGTGTCCCTATTGATTTCTTAGAAAATAATTTGTTTACATTTTGGATTAAAATTTATTGTTAATAAAGGAGAAATTATAGTCTTATACTAAACATTTACAAGCTGTAATTGTTATGACAAAAGATATTTGGGCAAACATGGTCTTGATGAGGTAATTTCATACTTTTTTTTTACCAAGGAGGATGCAATGAATGTAAATATAACTTGCATAATTTATTTACTGTTAATACCCACCCACATATGTCTCTCTCTCTCTCTCTCTCTCTCTATATATATATATATATATATATACACACACACACATATATATATACATATATACACACACACACACACACACACACACACATATATATATATATATATATATATATATATACACACACACACACACACACACACATATATATATATAATAAATGCTGATGTCAGATTGTTACTGTGTCACACTTTTTTCAATTAAAGTGATACAACTCTTTAACTTTCAACAATTCAGGTTACAGAAATTTTGGATTCCAAAGTTTTCATTACTGCAGTTGTTTTCGTTATTTTTATTTTTTTTCTAATTTTTCTGTTTTTTTTATGTGATTTTTTTTATGTCAATTTTTTTTGTACAATAACAGTTTTTATAATTTAGAGATAAATTTGGGAAATCAAAATTAATTGTGAAAATTAATTGTGTAATAAAAATAAATCTTTGTATTGAAGGTAAGGACCTACACATATCAAATTGTCTTTAAATTAAGTGGCTTCAGAAGAATTATTGTTGAACTTTTAAAAGGTAAGCTTAAATATTAATGCAATACTTAAATGCAGCAGCGATGAATTTTGAGTTCTTCTGTAGTTTATTGTTGCCTATCGCATCTACTCCTCCCTACTTATTGTGATGAAGATTCAATCACGAGCATCTAGTTTAAATGCCACTCAATAGGGCAACTTTTTAAGCTAGTTATATATA